ATCAGAGTCTATCTTCAGATCAGCTGCAAACACCATTGTCTCTTTGGTTGTCAGTAATTTAAGTATGGCAAATTCTTGAGTGATGTAAGATGATTGTTTCCTGAATTTTTGGACATTGCGTTGTCTCCCATTTATCTTAATAGATCCAGTTACTCCATTTTTTCTGAAATTATGAAAAGAATTTATTGTGTTGGATTGCACTTAACTGAATATTGAAAATCAAATTGCCTGAAATAAAACAATGAACTGACAAAAATATTTACATGTTCTTCACTTGCGGAATAAAGAAATGTCTCAGAGAGGAAGACTACCTGTATATGAACTACATCATTGGGAGAGAACATTGTCACTGAATGGTAATACTCCTGCACCATACTTTGAAGGTTCCATTTTCAAACACAAGCCTAGAAACTGGCTATCTTGACTGAGGTTTTTCATGGTTTTCCTTCATCCCACCTGGCAAATACTGGACTAACAACTTAAATTAGGCCACCACCACTTCCTTCAATATCCTTTCCATTTCACTACTTATTAATCATCATATCATTTGATGCTATGTAGCCTGAGCTACCAGTGGCATAGAAGAGAACCACATGTAAATGACTATATCAATCACAAACAGAAAGCGAGAAAATCATACAGGACGCCTAAAGGATGAGATCACTTAGGAGACCTAGGTATAGATGGGAGGGTATTATTAAAGAGAATCTTAATGAAACAGAGTGTGAGAATATAAAATAAATTCATCTGGCACAGTGGTGGGCTGCTGTGATCATGATAATGAGTCTCAAAGTTCCATGTATGTCACTTCTTAACCAGTTGAGCCACTATCAGTTTCTTTAAGATTTACTATTTCATGAAGAAGGATACTTAGAATGCCTTCATATAACCAATGAGTCAATGTGGATTGCATGAAGTAACCAACTAAGTTACTATTTCACTGAGCATAGTCCCCTTATGAAGTTAACAGCTTGTCAAGAAATTTCCCACATTTTATGAAACCAAAAAATTCGTTACAATGTTCACTGATCCATATCATGGGCTAGATTAATCTAATCCACACCCCCATACCTTATTTACATAATATTCCGTTTCCCCCCCCCTAGGTCTTCCGAGTGATCTCTTCTTTTCAGGATTTCAAACAAAAACGTTGTACGCATTCCTCATTGCTCCCATGCATGCTGCATGCCCTGTCCATCTCATCCTCTCTGATTTGATCATCCTAATAACATTTGGTAAAGAGCACAAACTATGAAGCACCTCATTATGCAATTTTCTCCTGCCTTCCATTACTTCATATCTCTTAAGCCCAAATATTCTCCTAAGCAAACTGTTCTCAGACACCCTCAATGTGGACTGCATGAAACTCATCATAGTAATGTACATACTGCACCTAATATGGACAGAAATTCTATGCTTAATTCTAATGTAACATATATCAGCAGTAGGGCCCTGTTTACGAGTGTTTTATAGGTTCAAGACTTCTCCTTGGAATACGTCTGTAACAACAAACAAGATAAGTACTGTCATTAAAAAAGAATTTGGCATGAAACATTATTGAATCTGTATTTAATTGTTTATGTTAATTGTTTTTTCAGACACAATACCCAAAAAATAAAGCTTACATCCATATATAAAACTTGGTATTACAATTATTCAATTTTATGCGAAGAATACGACTAACATTTAACTTTGGTGAATTTCACCATGTTTCCCTTATTCTTGTAGTCAGTCAAGATAGCAAATTAAACAACTAATTTCATCCAAAACACATGTGTGCCTTAATATTCCATTTTTGGTATACTAACAAGTCAGTTCACAAACCAATTGACATGACTAATTTTCACTGTATGTGCTTTCCATTGCCTTATTAAAAATGATGACTAGTTAAAAAATAATTATTAAATATTCAAGGTCATAGTGATATCTCTCATTATAGAGTGTTGGTTCACAAGCATGGGCCACTTAATGACCTACCACTGCCTATTATGTATCTTCTAAGGTCACCCTTGGGTTCATGTTCACAGAAATCAGTCAGAAATGAGTCTGTATTTGTCTCTGGCTTTTAAGGTTTATGTTTCACTACTACTGTCAACATCCTCCAGAGGTACTCACAAATAAACTTGTTACTAATTATTTCTCTAACAATAATTATAGGGAGAGAATATTTAATTTAAAAAATTATAATCAGTTAGTAATTAATACACAATTATGAATATACAATTATAGGATAAATGTAGTTGAAGCAGAATGTACGTTTAAAGAAAAATTCAACCTTCTTCTACTACATTTATCCTATAATTAGAGTGAGCCAACATGATAATGATTATAGTGAATAATACATTTTGTAAAAAAAACTTGTTGATTTAAATCATTGTTGAATACCAAACATTACAAGAGAACGTTATTGAGAATAGGCTGGAATGCAATGTCATGACCATAAACAGGTTAACATACACATATAGTATACATCAACTGAATCCACTTACAACACTCAAACATAATTCACTTCTCTGACTCATGCACCCATAAAACAGCAATGGATTTTTTTCCAGAACCAGTCCCCTGTCTGTCTCATGATGTGTCATATAAATAACAGCATCTAAATAAAATTTTTGTGCGGCATGTTGAAATATTACTGAAATATGACTGTTAACAAAGTTATACGCTAATAAAATAGAACATCACAATCACCTACACTAAATATCTGCAATTAAAATTAAAAATTAAATTATGCAGTCATGTAATATAATTTATGTCAACAGACAAACAAATCTTCAGAGAATCTGTAGATTATAACACAGCTTTGCCTTCAGGATGTAGGAAGTAACACCAGAATTCCATGTCTCTCATTTTTTCACTACATGGCTGATCATATCATTAAATACACAGAATACAAAGGGGAAAAAGTTATGTTTAACACAGACTATTTATTCTTTACAAAGAAAATAATACTTAGTTGTAAAGTACTAATCTTCAAAGTTACAGTAAAATGTTACAGGCAAAGTATAGTATTTCAGGCATTGTATGTGATTTGTAGGCATTCTATATCATGAAGATTTCCGTCTTTTGGGTTGTTGCGCTGTGTAGTATGGTAGATGTTTACCAGCGTTTCAGAGGTCATACTGCCTCGCCCTGATGACGGAGGCAGTATGATCTCTGAAACGTTGGTTAACATCGACCAGACTACACAGTGCAACAACCCAGAAGACGGAAATCTTCATACTCATCGCCCTGATGACGGAGGCAGTATGACCTCTGAAACGTTGGTTAACATCGACCAGACTACACAGTGCAACAACCCAGAAGACGGAAATCTTCAGACTCACCGCTGTGAGAACCTCAAGTCTTACATTCTATATCATGTCTGTCAATTCTGATCTACATATGGAATAATTTTTTTATTGTATTGTTATTGTAGTGTTTCTGCATTTCCCTAGGCATTGTATGTAAATCTCAGGCAATTTACGGAAAGTCAAAACAGATTTGCATAAAGTGTTCGTGGGATAAACCAGACCAGATCTGATCTAACCTAACCTAACCTAACCTAACATCAACCAAGCAGGGTATTAAAAAGAAAATGGGAGTAGGAATAAGCACAGCCTTGTTTCAACTAGTTAAGCCTCCATTCAACACAATGCCACAATCATATCTGGCAGTGAAGATGGCTGTCTTCAGGGTTGTTGAGCCATCTAGTCTGGTAGAAGTTTACCAATGTTTCAGATGGCACAACAACCCTGAAGACAGCCATCTTCAGACTCACTGCCATGAAAACCTGATTTCCTACATATATCTGGCATTTTATAGTAAGCCTACACAAACTTTGAAACATATTTTGCCTTATGTTTCTAGCATTTTACACAATATTAGACTTGGTACTTCACCTGTAACATACAAAATGCTGTATTTGTGGGCAGGCATAAATTCATTGACCACTGTTTGAGAAACACTATTTTACATTACAGGCCTATACTTACTTGAACCCTGCTAAGACATTTAATAAAGAAGTCTTCCCAGCTCCTGATGGTCCTAATATTGCTGTGAGGCGTCCAGAATAAAACTTCCCACAGATGTTATTCAATACTGGCTTCTGCTTCGAAGACTTTACTGAAATAAACATTCCCATACCTATCTTATACAAGTGTTATGTAAATGTGCCAAGATATGTTTACACTACTACTTTAGAGTAACACAAAGAAATAATAACTATTATGCATTTTTCACTTCCAAATTCTCTTTGGAACCAGGAAGAACTGCTAGGGCAATGGAAAGAATATGTAATTGTACATTTTTATAAGGAGGGTGAAAAAACTGACAGTAGTAATTACCTAGGAATATCACTTTTATCAGTTACATACTTCTATTAAATTAAATAAACTCCATATGCACAAAATTATCAGCATAACTGATAACTGATTAGATATTTTTCATTCCTCAGACACAGGAGAGAAATGGTAATATAATGAGGCAGCAGATTACATAAGTTATTTTCATATTTCAAGAGAGCCTACGATTAAGTTAGGAGACAAATATTATACATTATTTTCATTAAACATGGTATGCCAATGAAAGTAGTTTTACTTATAATTAAAATGTGTTGATGAGATATGAATAGCAAATCTGTATTTGTAAACATTTTTCTAAAGCATTTCCTATTCAAACCTGAAGATGGTGGCAGTATATTCCTCCAAATTTATCTATTTACAAGTATCTACTTACAAGTCCACATGGCATTATTACCTGAAAGACCAACATCAACATATCTTACCTGTTGTTTTGTATGGATATTAAACTTGGTCTCTTATGTTGAAAAAATAACACAAATTGGAGGTGTGTGAAAAGAGAATGCTGAGGAGAATATGTGGACTAAAGAACGATTAGGTGACAGGAAGCTGGAGAAAACTACATGATGACGATGACTACCTTCTGGTATGTTGCGCCACGTAGACTGGTAGAAACTGACAGACGTTTCAGAGGTACTTACAGCCTCCATTGTCAGGCATATCACTCTGAAATCTCACCTGCACCATATCAAATAAAAGTCGTAGGGTTTGATTAAATCTATATTTTATCACATGTAGCGGTTTGGTTTGTACGATACGTCGTTCTTGAGAGACCTGATAAATTTTGACATGCTTTCTAAAGCAGGTGTTGGGGATATACTGGACACATACGAACCGAAATCAATTCGGCAGATAACTTTTGGACGTTTGGTTTTGAAATTGTTCGGATTTCATTTTTGTCGAAATTCTTAACGATTTACAGAAATAAAAACAATATGTATTTAATTATTTCCTACAAACTTTGTTCGAAACGTTTTAAATTCATATGGGTATTTTATAAAATATCTGCGATATACAAAGTTTTAAAATGCATCCATATAAAGCGATCGTTAACATCAACCGATTTCAATAAAAAATTAATTTATCGGCAAATTTTAGTAAAATTCACGATATCAAATGTATTTAAAATATACACCCAACAGTTCACTAATTAGATAAGTGGACCCATCATGTGGCGATCTTGTTAAACTATGAATGGGATTTTAAAAATTCAGACGTCGAAGTGGTCTTCAATGGTACCTTCGTATAAATGTTATGAAAATAATGAATTACAGAAGAACCATAAGCAAATTACACATTTTCTACAGGATGTAGCATGAAGTGGGACCTTCAGATGACATTGCATGCACTAAATGGCTGTTGTTTCAAGGTACATGAGAACTACAATGAAAGGATAGCGTTTCAATGCAGATGAATACAAATCATATGTTGGTATCCTCAAAGGATATAATTTTCATGTTTGGTGACATTTCAGGTTCTCGCGGCAAATATTAAGAATACTGTCTGTCTTTTGGGATGCTGAGCCAAGCAGTTTGGTAGAAAATCACCAACATTTCAGAGAAGCGTACTGCCTGTATCATCAGGATGACGATAGACGTATATTTAGGGACTGAATTGTCGGTCATTTTCTACCAGACTATAGGGCAACATCCCAATAGTCTTCATTCCCATATTTAGTTACAATTCTTATCACACGTTTTTGTGTCACTGCATAGAGTGAAATTTGTTGAGACTACTTCGGAGAAGGCGGTGAACAGGGCACCTTTATCTCAGCCTAAATGAGATAGCGGTAGCTTGACGTCAGCAAAAAATTGTTCTCAATAACTGCAAAAATCTTCTAACACGGTTATAAATGACCTTACGACCAGTTTGACTTTCGAATTAGAGTGTATCTTAGGCTTCGTTTGAAGCCGATATGTTTAACTTCAGTCTTTAAGCCATAGACAGTCTGCCCGAAATTACATCGAATTGAATTCTGAGTAACTGGGGGGAAATTTCACGGTTATTCAACGACAGTGTGTCAACTACCGAAGTTACAAACAACTAGTTTGGTGGAATGTTAGCTACAGTCCACGACTGTAATCTTGAGACTTGCAAGGAATGCAGGAAGGTAGAGGCAGACGCTATCTTTCCTTCTTCACCCCACATCCTAACACCGCAAGTCTCGAGATTACAGTCGTGGACTGTATGTATGGCCTTGAGTTCCCTTCTCCACTCAACGAGCATCAACAGCTGACGGCCACAGCTGTCGTCCCACTGAACTATACGACATTCTGCGGGAAACTAATGGCCATGTCAACTGCGCAAAGCAGGATTTGAGGTGTTCACGGCGGTGGGTCTGAAGATGTCGGTCTTCTGACTTGCTGCGCCCTGTAGTCTGGTAGACGTTTACCAACGTTTCAGAAGTCCTTGATGCAATCATCATCAGGGTGATAAGTGACGTCGGAAAACTTCCACCAGACTACAGGGCGCAACAAGTCAGAAGACCGACATCTTGAAAATTGTGCAAGGCGAAAAGTGCATGTACGTGTTACATCACAAATCGTGTTAAATTTAACACCTGCAGATGGTGTTAGTACTTTCTGTGCAAACGACTTGGGATGAGTGCATACTTATTTGAACGTGGCATTCGACAGTAACATTTTTTGTGTGAGTCAGCAAGAATTTTTGTGCAGTCACAATTAACACGTAAGAATTTTTTCGTGAAGTTTTACAGACCGATACAAAAACCGCTGCAAAACGTTCCACCCACACAAGATCACGTTATGCGCGACATATATTATGAAACGACCTTGAATGCGATATTAAAATACAATAGGTCCGGAAGAGGAAAACTTTCTGATATTTTGATGGACATCTGACGAAGGATTGCACTTAGGATATTACATTTGAGTTTATATGGATTATACACCTGAAGATGGTTCATTTAGAACTGAAACATGTAGTGTAAAAGATGATGCTCTAATGTAAATCGAACATTTCGATAGAGAGCATCATTTTAATATATTTTTAAATATTTAAATGTTAATTGTAGTAATATTTTAATATTTAATAATAATATTTTATTGTGATTAGACTGATAAAATTGAACAAGTAT